TCCCTTGCCTCGGCTTGCCTTGCCCTGCCTTTCCAGCCTCCTCCTCCTTCTCATCCTCCTCCTCTTCTGCTCTCTTGAGAGGTCCTAACCCCAACGGAAGGGGGTTAGGACCTCCTCTGCTCTCTTGAGAGGTCCTAACCCCAACGGAAGGGGGTTGAGGACATGACCCCAAATGGAGGACAGTCTGACATTTCCTCCTGGGAAATGCAGGACCTGCCCTGGAAAAGGAGGAGTCTGGTCACAAAACACACCCATTTCCAGTACATGTACGGGTTCTTTTCACTTGTGTATGAAAGTTAAAAACATCTTTTTTTCGCTTTTAACTTAATTCCGTTATTATTGTAATTACATATGAAAAGCTTTTGCGCAATTAAGCTCTATTTTCGCTTTCTTTTCGGGATGCTTCATTTCCACTTTATTATCTCTTTAACAACGAAACTGGCCCACGTGTGATAACGTCCTTAGACATTCTCTATTCACAGTGTGTTTCTGAGTTAGATAGGGTAGGGCTATGTCATTTTGCTGCCTGAGGCAAAAACAGCAATTGTCGCCTCCTACCCAGAAGTCAGGGTTCACAGTTGCAAAGCCTGCCAAGTTATTTTGGCACACAAGGCAGAAAATCCCACTAATAACACTCCTCAACCCTAGAAGTAAAAATGAAATAATAAAGTATATAATTTGTTCCCCCTTTTTGACATTCTTAATCTCCTGCTTAAGGCAACAGCCTCATTTTCTTAATGGGAGGGTCGGACCTGTTCCTAGCGTAGTTACCTTTTTCTTTTTCTTACTGCCTCTGGTTGGTAGATGATTCCTACTGCAGAAATCATCATCAGGGTTTCCTCCCTCCCTGTTCACTTTAAGGGAAAAAGAAAAGATAAGCAACAGTTGCTGCACACAGAATGCTGCAAGTTATTTAGTCTTGGTTTCCCTAGAAATATTGATTCTCAAGTGCTTTCCACACTGACAGGTGCATTCTCAATAACTACCTTTCATCATTTGTGGAAAATATAGAAAAAAATGGGAGGGACTGACAATTTGTGTCAAATTGCTAGGGTTCTTTAACTGCAAAACTCTTTTTAATAAAGTTTTAAATCTCTCTTTAAAGCTAAAATTATATATTTGACCTGCCTAGTTGTAAAAATCAAGCATAAAATATTATTGAGGCACTTTATGTTTTCTACGTTCAAGAGCAGTAGTAAAATGGATACTGCAGCTGTGAACTGTTCCATATTATTATTAATGAAATGTTGAGTCTGAAGAAGCGTTGTAAGAATAAGAGCCAGTTTCAAAGGAGTTTGAAGTAATGTTTGCTGAGTCTTCGGCAAAAGTCCTAATAAAACATTTAAAAACTAAAATGCTTTAGCACAATCTGTGTTTTTTAGGAAAGAGAAAACATTTTCATGTTTGACTATTTTGACACACAAGCAAATACAGACCATCAAAACACTGGTAGATTATTAAGAACTGAATTGAGATATCCCACTGTACTAGGAAATAAACTAAATTTAACTGAATTATATCATTAATTTTGGTTATTTGTGTACTTATTTGAAATATGTATTGTCAGCATTTAGGAAAAACCCTCCCAAGGTGACAGTCAATGAACTTAAAAATGCATCACATAATAAAGCAACAACAAAATTTATAAAATCAGAATTACCAGGGGGGAAAGATATAATACACAAAGACCCCCAGTAGAATACTAATTGTAGGCCAAGGTAAATATATGAGTCTTTGGAACTTCCTTGAATGGCTGAAATGCTTGGTCCTAGTGGTGACCAAATGGAACAGAATTCAAGAAACAGGAGAGATTAACTTCAGGACCATCAATAGGGATTTACAGAGCCAAATGTCACAAGGGCAGCAGAACTGCTTGAAAATCAGATTCAATCAAAAGAAGCCAGAGCCCTGAATTTGCAAGATATGAGCAGGACAATTGATGACCAGGACTCTCTGAGGTTTCTCATTCATAGGGTCATCGTAAATCAAAGTTGATTTTGTGGCAAACAACATTGTAAAAGAGGTTTCTGCTGGAAAAGATAAAAAATACCCTACAGAAGCCAATTTAAAATTCAGTATTTTCCACATGCAAAATAGTTGTGTAAACAACAGTATCAAGGATGTACAAGCATGCTTAGCAAGTCCTCATACCATGACATGAATTCCTAATAAAGTCTAATGCACTGTGACTTCTCTACAAATGTAGGAAACTTGCAAATGTAGGAAACTTGCAGATAATCTGTCCAGTTTATATTATTTTAAATGTGTTACTTTCCAAAGCCAAAATTACAAAATTTGGTGTTTTTTTTTTTTTTAAGTCCTGAATGCCTGTGTGGTGTCAGCACATGTATCAAAGCTGAGAATGAATTTTCACACACAGCTGCAAATGCACCAAAGATATGTCCTGCAGCATACTATTATATTCACAGAAAGGCTTCTTTGTACAGGTATTGAGTTTTAGTAATTTTGAGAAGTATTTGGGTTTTGTACGATTCTACCATATCCTTTTCTTTAGATGCTTGTATTTCTAAATGTTCAACAGCAAGACTATAAATTAGGGAATGAATGATAATTTCATTTTGAAGGAGTAAAATTCTTATTTGGGGAGGCAATGTCTTCATTCTTCTCTCTCCACGTCCGCATCCTGACCACCACCTAATTGCTTTTAAAGGTGGACATACAAATAAGGCCTCTGATGCTAACCTCTTAGAAATGTTGACAGGCAATTGTTCAGGTAAAGTGGCTGGACTCAAACCATTTAAATGTCTTAAAGAGCAGAGGATCATCCAAGCCATAGTACTCCCCATCACCATCTACGGATGTGAGAGTTGGACAGTGAAGAACATTGTTAAGAAGAAAATCAACTCATTTGAGATGTGGTGCTGCAGAAGAGTGCTGAGGACAGCCAAAAAGACAACCAAATGGATCCTAGAACAGATCTGGAACTCTCCCTGGAAACCAAGGGCCTTTGCAGACTGCCAGAAATAGTGCAAATTGAGTCCACTTTAACTGCCCTGGCTCAGTGCTAAGGAATTATGGCAATTGTATTTTTTTTTCTGAGACACTTAGCCTTCTCTATCAGAGAGCTCTGGTGCCACAATAAACTACATGATAAAGCAGGATTCACTAGAGAAGACAATAATGCTAGAAAAAGTGGAGGGTATTAGGAAGAGAAGAAAACCATATGCCTTCATAGACTCTATCAAGGAGGCTGTGGCCCTGAGCCTGCAGGACCTGCACAGAGCAGGTAAGATACAGTGTCTTGCAGGTATCTCATTCACGGGTTCACCATGAATCAGAGCCAACTAGAGGGCAATAAAGTAGAGGGCAGGAGGAAAAGAGGAAGACTACACTCCAGATGGATAGATTCAATTGAGGAGGCCACAGCCCTGAGTCTGCAAGATCTGATCAGAGCTGTTGGTGATAGGGTGACTTGGAGATCTCTCATTCATAGGGTTACCATGAGTCGAAGTCAACTTGATGGCAGTTAACAACAAATCAGAGCTGCTACACTGGGCCTAGAAAGGTACTGACAACCAAGCCTAGGCCACACAACCTGTGGTGAGGGATTTTGGGAGTTGCTACACAAAAACATCTGGTGGGACACCAGATTAAAGTGATTTAAAGGGAGACGGGTGCCTCCCAAATCTGCTGCTTTGAAGAGGCCATCTCTGCCACAAAAGTGGTCTGTGGGGTGTGTCCACACTGTAGAAATAATACATTGGACCCCACTTTAAATGCTGTAGCACCCTCCTATGTAATCCTGGGATTTGTAGTTTTTACAAGGTCTTTAGCCTTCTCCGCCAAAGAATGCTGGTGCCTTACCAAACAACAAATCCCAGGATTCTGTAGGATGCAGCCACAGCAGTTAAAGTGGTATCAAACTGCCATAATTCTATAGTGTGGACACCCCCCCCCCCAGGTTGCAGATATATTGGGTGAGTCTTCTCTTACTGTGAGAGAGTATTTTTACATTGGCCCATTTTTTTATATTTTTACAAATTTTGCATTTTTTTAAAAATTACACATTTTACATTTTTACATTGGACTTTAGAATGCTTTGTCCCCAGTGCCAGATGTAGGAGCTTGCATTGATAGCCTTCCACAGAACAACACAACACCTTGAGAAAATGCCTATTAACATATAGTCATTTTATTATCATTTTTCTCCTGTATGATTTTTTTTGTATCCTTTATGGAGACCCAGCATGGCATAATGGTTTGAGTTTTAGACTACAACTCTAGAGACAAAGGTTCAGTTCCTCGCTTGGCCATGAAGCCCACTGGCTGACTTGGGCACATGCTCTCAGCCTCAGGACCTCTGAACAAATCTTGCAAAAAACAAAACAAAAACAAAAACAAAAAACAAAACAAACCCATGATAGGTTTGCCTTAGGGTTACCATAAGTGAGAAATGACTTGAAGGCACACAATGACAATGACTTTTTAACACTTTTGCCTGATGAAGAAAAGAGTGGCGCTTCAAAAGCTTGTACTATGTCTTTTGTGCATTTTGGTCTGCCAAATAAAGGAATCACTGTTTTGTGGATTTTGGATGTTATTGTACTTCGCTATATGGCCAACACGGCTACCCCTGAATATGTTTACATTGGCATGTTGGCTTTCACTCTCTTTGCCTTTTTGCATGTACACCTTCCAGGTTGTAAAGAGAGAAGAAGGCTAGGAACGGGGAAGGCAGCAATGAAAGAACAAGAAAAGCTTCTAAAGTGTAAAGATATACAACTGACCACCAAAGTCAGAATAGTCAAAACCATTGTATTTCACATCACCATGTATGGATGTGAGAGCTGGACAGTGAGGAAAGTGGATAAGAAGAAAATAAATACTTATAATATGGTGCTGGAGAAGAGTGCTGAGGATCCCATGGACAGACAAAAAGTCAAACAAATGGGTCCTGGGACAGATCAAACCTGAAATCTCCCTGGAAACCAATACGATCAAATTGAGGCTGTTGTATTTTGGCCACAGAGCCAAATGTTGAGTAGTTGGCTGGAGATCAGGATTTGATTCCCTGCTTGGCCACAAAACCCACTGGGTGACCTTGAGCAAGTCACATGCTCTCAGCCTCAGGGAAAGGCAATGGCAAACCTCCTCTGAACAAATCTTGTGAAGAAAACCCCATGATAGGGTCCCCTTAGGGTTGCCACAGGTTATAAACAACTTGAAGGTGCACAACAACAACTTTGGCCACATCATGAGAAGGCATGACTTATTAGAAAATACAATAATGCCAGAAAAGGTGGAGAGCAGCAGAAAGAGGAAGACTGCAAGCCAGGTGTCTAGATTCAATCAGGGACTGAATTTGTAGGACCTAGGCAGACCTGTGTGGTGTAGTAGTCTGAGCATTGGATTAGGACTCTGGAGAACAGGGTTTGAATTCTGGCACAGGCATGGAAAAGCACTGGGTGACCTTGGGCAACTCACACTCTCTCAGGCTCAGAGGACGACAATGGCAAACGCCCTCTGAAGAAGCTTGGCAAGAAAACCCTGTGATAGATTCTCTTTAGCATCACTATAAGTTGGAAATGACTTAAAGGCACAAAAAGGCAAAGCAATGGAGGACAGGGGGTCTTGGAGATGCTTCATCCACAGGGTCGCCATGAGTTGGGGTCCACTCAAGAGCAGCTAACAACAACAGAGACACATGGTTAAAGTTTCATAGGGTTGAAGTTCTCCCTCGCACCTGAGGCAGCCTCCACCTCCACCCAGGAAGTGCATCTCCTGAACCCCAAAATAAAGGCAACAAAGATGCACCCGGGAACACACAAGCCAGGCCTGGCTGCTGTTCCTCTTTCAGCCTTGAGTTGCCTGGCTCTTTGGCCAGGATGACCAGGCATCCTCCTTTTCCAGGACACATCCTCCATTTCAACCTTCTGTCCAGGAGGAATGCCAAAATCTCCTCCATTTGGAGCAGGACTAAGAAGACTGAATTTATACTTATACTAGTGTTTTTAGTTCAGGGTGACCAACGTGGTCCTCATTTTCCAGGACACATCCTCCATTTCAACCTTTTGTCCAGGAGGAATGCCAAAATGTCTTCCATTTGGAGCAGGACTAGGAAGGCTGAATTTATACTTATATTAGTGTTTTTAACCCTGGGCGATCAGGCTTGGTCCTCCTTTTCCAGGACCTATCCTCCCTTTCAAACTTCTGTCCAGGAGGAATTTTGGAGCAGGACTAAGAAGCTTGAATTTATACTTATATTAGCTCAGGGAGGCCAAGCTTGGCCCTCCTTTTCCAGGACACGTCCTCCATTCCACTCCTCTGTCCAGGAGGAATTTGGGAGCAAGACTAAGAAGTCTGAATTTATATTTATATTGTTTTTAGCTCAGTGTGACCAGGCTTGGTCCTCCTTTTCCAGGACCTGTCCTCCCTTTCAACCTTCTGTCCAGGAGGAATTTTGAAGCAGGACTAAGAAGCCTGAATTTATATTTATATTAGTGTTTTTAGCTCAGGTGATCAGTCTTGATCCTCTTTTTCCAGGAACTGTCCTCTCTTTCATCCTTTAGTCCAGGAGGAATTTGGGAGCAGGACTAAGAAGCCTGAATTTTATATTTATATTAGTGTTTTTAGCTCAGAGTGACCAGGCTTGGTCCTCCTTTCCCAGGACACGTCCTCCATTCCAACCTTCTGTCCGGGAGGAATTCCAAAATCTCCTCCATTTGGAGCAGGCCATGGGTTTACATTTCCACCTGGGTGTGGTTTAGCTTTTACTTGGTCAGGTTCTCCATTCCAACCAGGTCCTCCATTTTTCTGCAATGGCCAGCCTCATCCTACAGTGCCTTGTCCTCCTTCCTGGTCACTCTGGGGGGTTGCAGACTGGCAGAAATAGTGCAAATTGAGTCCACTTTAAGGGTTAGGGTTAGTGCTAGGGAATCATGGGAATTGCTTTTTTTTTCTGAGACATTGAGCCTTCTCTGTCAGAGAGCTCTGGTGCCACAATAAAATACAGTTCCCATGATTCCCTAACCCTAACCCTAACCCTAAAAGTGGACTCAATTTGCACTATTTCTGCCAGTCTGCAACCCCCCTCTGTCTTTGGCATGCTGAGGAGAAACCCATGGAGGCGCCTCCGCCTTTGCAGGATTATAGATAGCCTGGGGCTTTCCGACTTGGGGAAGGAGGGAGGCCAGGCTTTCCTCGCCTTCTAAGGTAAGGCCGGGTCTTTTCCTCCTCCAAAGCCTTCCCGCCCAGCACAGCTTGCCTCAGAGGCAAGGTGGAAAAAGCCTGCCTGCCTGCC